AATCGAATCACAGAATGTTGAAGCTGGAGAGAGAAACATTTAGTCCACGGCTCCACTCTACAGATGAAGAAATGAGGCCCAGAGAGGAGAATGAATTTACTCAAGTCAGGTGGACAGTGGCAGAGCTGCCCTAGAGTTCCAACACCTGGATTTCTGTCTTGTATAATGTTTGCTACACTTTTCTCCCTAGTTAGTCTCCTGTTTATTTTATTTTTTTCCTTGATCATTTCTGTTCTTAAACTGTAATGGTTCTTAACTTTTTAATATCACTTAAAGGAGAGACATACTTTGGTTAGTGAAAATGTACAGGCTTTGACGTTACCTGGCCTAGACTCCTGATTTCTTATTTGTAAACTAGGTAGAGGCTTAGCTAAAATGGTTGATTTTAAAGATTAGATATAAGATCTGAAAAGATTTAGTATATATTTCTTAAATGATCACTTGTGTTGGAATGACAGCAAGGCCCCCAAGAACCTCTGGAAAAAATAACTAGTAACAGTTGAGCTCCCTCCAATAGAATGTGGATAGCACTTCCACTCTACTTTCTTAAGGGGACATCTCTGTCCCTAGAGTTCTGCTACTAGGGGAACTAGAACAACCTTGGAATCCCACCCGTTTATGAAGGCAGAGCCATGGCCTATCTGGTTTGTATAAAGCCACTGCCCCTGCCAAGTGGGACACTCACCTTCGACTATGATGTGAGAAAGAAATGTCTTAGTTTTCAAATTACATTATTATTGAGGCTTTGTAATAGTCTTATTTTAACATATTCTTTAACTCTAACTGGTATGAGTGACTATATCATTATTCCTGTAACAGATGAACAAAATTAAGACATTGGAAGTTAAATTACTTGCTTCTTGTCACGCATCTAATAAGTAACATATTTGGGATTAGAACCCAAGCAAATTGACCTTCAAATCCACCATGGTCTTAACCAATGAGCTATACTGCCTCTTACAATTTCTAAATTTGCAAGCCAGTATATATTAGTTTTTAATAATTTATTATATTGATACACATTACCTTATAGTTCTCTAGGTCAAAACTCCTACACAAGTCTCACTGGGCTAAAATCAAGACGTCTGCAGGGCTGCATTTCTTTCTGGATTCCTAGGGGAAATTTTGCGGCTCATTCAGGTGTTGGCAGAATTCAGTTCCTTTTCAGTTGTGGGTCCAAGACCTCCACATTCTCATTGACTGCCAAGTGAGGTCTTCCCCCAGTTTATAGAGGTGGCCAGCATTCCTCAGTTCATAGCCCCTTTCCTTCACTTTCAAAACCAGCTTTGGCAGGTTGAGTCTTCACATTACATTTCTCTGACCATTCTTCCATTGTCCCATCTCTTTCTGGCAACAGCTTCCATACTTGTAGGATTATCCTGTCTCAAGGTCTCTAAGCTTAATCATATCTGCAAAGTTACTTTTGCCATGTAGTATAACATTCACAAATTCTGGGGATTAAGATATGGGCATCTGTGGCAGGGAAGGGCATTATTATGTCTACCCCGCAGAAAATGGTCCCTCAATCCATGCTCTTGGCTGATATATTGTCCAGCCTCTGTAAAATTGTAAGCTCTTTCTCCTATGGACCTCTCCTCTATCCCTTTTTGGACAAAGGCTTTCCAAGGAGGAAATGGACTCTTGGGAGAATTTCTCCTGTATCCCACACAGGGTTGTACAGGGTACGTGTACAGGGTTGTACAGGGTATGTAACAAGCTCTCAGGAAAGTTCATTGAATTGATCTGATACCAATGGCTGCCATTTATCTAGTACATAGAATGTGCTAAACACTGTCCTACGAGCTTTATCCCGATTTCCTCATTCATTTCACAGCAACTGCAGGAACATGAAGTATGTTCTGCTGTTCCTGCTTCACTGATGAGGAAACCAAGGCGTAAGTAAATGACTTGCCAGAGATCACATAGCTGGTCAGGAGTACAGCTTGAATTCAAATCCAGGGCTGCCCTCCCCAGAGTCTGAGGTTGTACCACTCCATAACTCTGCAGGGCAAAGAGCCATACTCCATGCCAGATAGCGATGGTGCCATCAGGGAGGCTTTTTCTCAAGGACCTAGATGGAACCCCTCAAAGGACCGTTTAGGAACTTAACGGATTTCTTTTACAATCAATAATGAATCCTGGTGGACATCTTCCAATTTTAATTTCCCTCCTGGAACCATTCTCTGTCATTGCTAAATCCCATCAGAGGTTTCATTATTGCTTTGTATGATGAACTCCAGGGACTGTTGGGAGGGTGGGGGTGAGTAGGAAGGCCAGGCCCATTCGCTGTTAGGGAATTATACTGAAAACAGGAGAGCTGTGTCCCCCGGCACCTTAGCAAGCCATATGTATTCAATTTCAAAGGAAATTCTCAGGTTTATGCTGCAGGAGGCCAAACTGAGATGAGTACGAAGGAAACAGAAATGATCCAAAGTGACAACCAGTGGTTTAACAGCAGACAGCTCAGTTTACCAGTACATCACATCCTCTCTTTAGAAGGACAGGGACACAAATCCCTTGATTATATCAGTATAACTCTTGGGAAGCCTTGTATCCTCATGGCCCCCACACTGGATGTGGACCAGTCTAATTAGTAGTCCCACTACTCTCAATTCCTTTATTAGCTGGTACTGTTGAAGGAAATGTTTTGGCCACACAAATATTTTGATGGGAAGCACATTATTATATACTATTGAAACACAATGTGAC